TGTCTTGGAGGTTCCTTGTTAACTCCACTGGGGCTGGCACAAAGTTCCAAGATCCAATTGGATCAAATCATACACTTCAATGATAGCTTCTACGGTCAGGTGCCCATCATGCTGACGGTTTCCCCAAGCTCTCTTTCTGGCACTGGCGTCAAAGCATCTCTTCTGTATTAGAGTAGAAGCTGGTTATGGGGCTGTAAGCTGCTGCTTCTAAAGACACTGTGCAGAGGCTGGAAAGAGGTAATGTAAAGCCCCTGCCATGGCACCTCCTTTGTGGGAGACAAATCTTGATGAGTACATTGATCCAGGGGGCTTCAGTAAGAGTGTAATTGTAGACTTCTTTCCTAATCAAGGCCTCTTCCTGCTCCTCTACCACTTTTCCTCAAAGCTGGTAGGATCTGGTCCTCACCCCTTGCCTCTGGCTGCCTCCAGCTCTTCCATCTTGCCAAACCCTTCCTAGTTCCTTACCCTCTACCTTTATCCTTGCTAGCTGGGTGCGGAGATCTGCCCACTTCATTGCTTGAGTGGCTCTCATTAACCAGTTTTGCTTCCCAGTCTTGGGCCAGCCAAGTGGCACTTGTTGGGCATCTAGCAGAAGGCACGCCAACAGTGAGAGTACACCTCGCCAGGAGTGTCAGAGGTGACTGCTTCGCAGGGTCACAGAAGAAAGTCCAAAAACAGGATTATAGTTGAACATTAAGAAGACAAAAATAAGGGGTACAGAAAAATTATCGAACTTTGATGCTGACAATAAATAAATTAAGTAGTTTTAAGATTTTCTATACCTTGTTGCAACCTGACAATAAATTAATTAAATAGTTTTAAGATTTTCTGTACCTTGTTGCAACCTGGAGCTAAGACTTGGAAAGACAGCTAGAAAGAAACTGAACAAGATTAGAGATGGGACTTTTGTGTTTTAGCAAAAGGGGGAAAAACAGGAAAGAGGCTTTTAAAAAAAAAAGTTGTTTCTAGTTGATTCCCGAGAGCCTCAAAAACATAAATGGTGTGTCTTAAGAAAAGAGGTGTATAGTTAAGTTTACTGTTATCTCATGTTTCTTTTGTTTAACCTTTCTTTCACCCTGTCAAATCACCTAATAATTGTTCCATCCACTGTCATCATGAGGGGCATTGCAAAGACATGGTGGTATGACCAATGAGTGTGTCAATCCCCAATCAGAATGCCTGGGGGGAATGTTGAATGTAGAAAGGTCTGGAACACAGCGAAGAACTTTTGTTTTGTTTTTTGCTTCACCATTTTGGATTCTTTCCTTGATTTTTGGGAGATTCCCCCTCCTCCCATTTCTTTGGATTATTGTTGTTACCAGGCAGGCTGCCTGTGTCTCAGGAGTTTTTGAATTTCAGATTTCCTTGAGGATTCCTCCCCAACAATTTTTGTCTTTTCTTGAATTAATTTTGCTGATGCCTTCTGGACTCCAAGAGAAGTCAGTAAGTTCTATATGAACCAGGTTGAGACTAAAGGTCCTATTCTGACTCCTACAACTAGAAGTGCAATGGAACCAGGGTGGAACTTTCCCCTTGCAGATTAAATTTTGGGAAGTCTTCAACACAGAGGATTAATTTATCCTATCATCAATCATCTTCAAGCACGAATTTAACAGTCTTTTTATTTCAAAAAGCATATGGTTCTATGAATTAAAAGCTGGTTTTGTCATCTTGCCTTTTAATAATTTTGTTAAGTCATTTTAATGAACTTTCAGATGGACTAGAATGATATAAAATATTTAAATAAGTATACTGAAATTAAATAATAGGCTAGTGATGTTCTGGTACTGCTGCTTGTGTGTAGTCTACGTGACAAAATCAGTTATACGGGATTGTTTATTTTTGTTTTCTAAAAATGTGTTGGTACACAGAGTATATAGGATTTCTATGATGAGAAAATGCCATTAATCCTTTAGTACATATTGTCAAAAGCTAGTGACTTGTTGACAGCATAATATGAAAATGATATTCTGGTAAATGATTTAGGAATGAGATGTGAACCAGGATGTTTTCCTTTTCAGTCCTATTTACTCAGTAGATTTAGCCTTTTAAAAAATTGCCTATTTCACAACATCTCCTCACCCCCAAAATAAAGAGGTGAAGAAAGAGATTCTCACTCAAGGAATTTGAACAAGGCTGTGTTACAAGAAGTTAAAAAAGTTCCTTCCAAATACCAATTTTCTAACATTCCCATGATGATATTTATTTTGACAACTAAACCCACCCCCAGATGAATGATAGGCTTAAAGCTGTAGACATTCTCATACACAACATGCATACCTATTGACAACAGGGTGAACTAATACAGTATTCAGAAAGCTCTCCTGAGGCCATTTTCATGTAAATACATAATGCTGAGTTCCCACTCACATAAATGCTTACTCCAATGTGATATTTTACCTCTTAGATCAGTCATCAGAAGCACTGATATTCTCCAGATTATGTCAACTGGCTTGCTTTACATGAGCAGTATTCTGGCCAAGTTGTCAAACCTTAGAGGGCTCATGGTCATTATTTTTATTTCATCTTTTCTGGATTTATTTTCTTCACAGAATATTGGAGCAGTAAACATTTCCAAAGGGTCTGATGCAGCACCATAGTATCTGCCCATTTAATAGCTGGGAAGCAAACAATCTGTGAAGTAATGTGGACCGATTCCATCTTTTTTCATGTTCATTTGATGATTTTGTTCAACATGGAGATACAGTATACACTTGGAATTATCTGTAATTATTTATGCATTTACATTATTTAAATGTTATCTTTCAAGACAAAATCCTCCTATGGTGGCTTATAAAAGACAATTACTGTAGTTGATTCTGGTGGGACTGGTAGTGGTGATTTTCAGACATTAAAGGCTCCCCCACCAGTCCAAGTACTTCCTCAGGTCAAAAGGGATCTTTAAAGAATCTAGAAAATTAAGTGGGTGTGTAGAAAGTTTTTACTTTAAAAAAAATCTGTGACTTATGACTATCAACCTCACATTCATGGCTTTGCCTCAACAGGATTCTGGCCCTAGCCTGTTTCAGCTAAAAGCAAAGGAACCTAGTTTGTCTTCTAATCCTATTACAGAATTTTCTATATAACAGTATACACAGTAGGGCCGTAATAAAGGAAAACATTTATGGAGCCTCAGATCCTCTTACCTAGTTACTCTTGTATAGCACAAACAGAGTAACTTTGGGAGGCAAATTGCTCCAAGTTAAGAAACCACCAAATATACTGTTAGTCAGTGGTCCCCAACCTTGGGCCTCCAGATGTTCTTGGACTTCAACTCCCAGAAACCCTGGCCAGTAATGATGGTGGTGAAGGCTTCTAGGAGTTGTAGTCCAAGAACATCTGGAGGCCCAAGGTTGGGGACCACTGCTGTTAGTTGAATGTTGAGTCAAACAACTCGGTATCCAACTGATAACCTGTATGGTGATTTCTTAACTTGGAGCAGTTGACCCCTAAAGGTTACTAGTTCTGTTACTCCAGCACAACTAGGTAAGAGGATTTGGATCGTATTGAAATTTTAAAAAACAAAACCACATTACCTTCACCTAAGGTAATGAGGGATTTCTTTCAGTTTGAGTTTTGTGAACTGCTGTACATTTCTTCAAACTGATTTATTTCAGTTTCCTTTTGTAGGTAACCCAATGTGCTTGAAAAAATAGACTGCAGTCTCTGAAAGGTCACACTGAAATAAATATGTCAGTCTTAAGACAGCTACTTCTTTGAAAATTAGCATGTTAATGGCATGGAAGCCTTGTTTTCTATTATGCCCCATGCCTCTGGAGCAGTGAGCTAAAACTCCACAAAAATGCACACCAAATAAAGGTTGCTGTTCTTAAAAAATGCTACAGATCCCTTTGTATTTGATAGTACAGCTCCCTTCTTGTGTTGTTTTCCAGATGAAGAATCCCTTCCTTTTTTGGACAAAAGGTACTGTGAATGCTAGCAACTAACAATCTATCACATTTCTTCATAACCCCTATACTATTATTTTCAGAGAAGTAGTTGTGTTAAGAGTGTCTCTGCATACTGACAAAATTAAAGGGAGAAAAACAAAGACAAAATATTGTGGCACTTTAACAGACATTAGAGGTCCACTTGTATTATCTAAATGAGAAAATATGATCCAGTGTTAATTCTTAACACATTTTTGCACCAAATAGGAATATATCCTTTTCCCCCCAATCCCTTTGTATTTGATAGTACAGCTCCCTTCTTGTGTTGTTTTCCAGATGAAGAATCCCTTCCTTTTTTGGACAAAAGGTACTGTGAATGCTAGCAACTAACAATCTATCACATTTCTTCATAACCCCTATACTATTATTTTCAGAGAAGTAGTTGTGTTAAGAGTGTCTCTGCATACTGACAAAATTAAAGGGAGAAAAACAAAGACAAAATATTGTGGCACTTTAACAGACATTAGAGGTCCACTTGTATTATCTAAATGAGAAAATATGATCCAGTGTTAATTCTTAACACATTTTTGCACCAAATAGGAATATATCCTTTTCCCCCCCGATCGTGTTTGTATTTCTACAATGCAACAATATACATAACCAATTCAGGGACCCATTGATATATTATATTACGTTTTATGCGCCATAATGTAATGAAACCGGTTTCCAAACCGAGACGCGAGGGGAGAGCTCAAAGCTTTGGAAACCGCCAGCCTGTAGAACCACTGCAAATGCGCCAATAAAAACATAATTAACTACACAGAGATAAAATCGGAGAAGAACAGCTATAATACAAAACAACGGGATACTGTACGATTATATTTCCATCCAAAACCCAATAAATAAAACACCTTTTAAATTCAGGACACTAAGTACTAGTTTGCAAAAGCTTTGTACTGAAAGCATTGCATTGCAAGCAGACCTGAGCTCTTAAATGTTTTAAAAATAAAATCATTAAATGATAATCATTAAAATCGTAGCGCACAGGAGTCGTCTGCCCCGCAACGTTTTATTATTACGAGTGGAAGCTATTGAGAAATCAGAGGCGGGACACAATCCTGCTGTTTTCTATTGTTCTCTTCTGAGAAGTCTCTGCTTCCATCGCGGGGAGCGGGAAAATGGCGTCCAAAATACACCCGGAAGTTTGTCTTATAGATATAGGAGGGTTTCTTTTTTTTTTTTCCTCAATGGTCCGATAATCGGCTTTGCCCGATTCTCCCTCCGATGAGCGGCTTGTGTTCCAAATGGCGCAGGAAGCTCCTCCGACGCATGCGCTCTGCGGTCTCGGACGCGCTGGTGTTGCCTAGCAACAGGGAAAGCGAAAACGTGCGAACGGGGAAAGTGAGAAGCAGGATGGGGGTCTTGTGAATGTAACTGTTCGTAGACAGTCAAGTGCAAGTCTCGCAGAGTGAGTGACGTTTTCCGGGGGGCCTTGAGGTTTGGGAAGCCGTCTGAAGAAGAGTGTTTCTGGCTGTTTGTGTTCTGCCTCCGGCTGGGTGCAAAATATTTAAGACCTGTTGTTACCATCACACCGCTTCACAACAATGAGACAGTGGAAGAATGCTTAGCAGGTTTGAGTTTATTTATTTATTTATTTATTTATTTATTTAAACATTCCTAGCCCGCATTTCTCCTCAAAAGGACCCAAGGAGGCTTACAGTATTTCAGCAAACAATTTAAACACTGGTAGGCGAGGGAGAAAAAAAAACCTAGCCTTTCCTGTTTTATTGCCTTCTGTTGGATCTGAGATGAGATGAGCAGAAATCTTAGTTAATGACTTCCTTGAGTGTTTATTGATTCTTATGTAACTTCATCGGCAGAAGTTTCATATGGATAAAATAACAGTTCGGAGTTCTAAGGACTGAGATGGAGTTTCATTGTTTTTAGAAATGCATGCACTTCATTTGTCACAGCAAAGCACCTCAGGATAGTCCTCTTGTAAGAAAGTGTCTTTGCGGCAGGTGGAACCACAAGTACAGTACTTGGACTGCAAAATAATTAAAAGATTTCTTAAGAAAAAACCTCTCTGTCAGGTGTTTAGTTTGTGAAAGAAGTTTAACTGATCAAGTAATCTACTAAATGCTGCCATCTTAATTATTGCATAATTATCATTATTTATGTAATAATATTGAAGATGAAACATTTATGTAATAATAATCAAAGGTGAAATATTTAATAAATAAGTATGTTTCTGCTGGAATATTAGTGCCTGTTGGAATCTTGCTGTTAGGGTATGCACAGATTTATGATCCAGCTTTAGATAATTAAAACTGCAAATTAAAAGATACAATATATACTGTATGGCTATATTCCAGGGGAAATTTGCTCATGTGTGCACTTCCACCCTCCTTTCTGTAATAAACTTGTAATCTAAATCCCACATTGTCCCAGTTTTATTTTGATCAAAGCTTGTTTTGTGCAGTAAACTTATGGGACATTTTGCTGATTGCAATAGAGTTTTATGTTTTGTCTTTTAGGATTTCATTTTGGTGATTATGCTGGCAATTCACTTATCTTTTGACAAAGGAAGTGGTCATCTGGCAGATTGTTTGGCAAATTATATTTAAAAAGCTGCAGTGATTCTTACCTAACATAAAAATAAGTGTGCAAATACCAGTTTGACTCATACCCATGATTATTCAGATATAAGAAACAAAGTAGGAACTCTAGCAACAACAATTTTTGGGAACCATCCAGAATCAGAAAAGCAAAATGAATAGAAACTAGTTTTGGAATCAAAGGGGGACACCGGGATTGAATAAAATGTAACCCTTCCTGTTAATTCATTGAGTTATGTTCCTTGATGAAGAAGGGTTTTGCCAGCAGAATATAATGCTGTCTGAGAGCCAGAAAAGAGGTGGAGAATAGGCAGGATTGGAGAGGAGCTGAATTATGTTAGATCTACCTAAATTTCCACAGACCAGGGACATAATCACTATGCCAGCACAAAGACAGGCCCAGGTGAGACCCAACATTCCTGGGCTGGGAGAGGTTTGGATTCAGCAGAAAGAACCAAGGTGGTCAGCTGGAGCTTGACCACCTTGGCTGTTTTGTGCCCTAAGGGCATTGCACTCCCTGGTAAAATACATACCAGTCTTCAAAATTTTTATTAATGCTCCTTTAGATTTTGCAGATGGATTAGACAGAACAGAGGGGCATCAGTATCAGTAAACAAATGAAGATATTTTGACTGCATATTTTATTCAGTTGAAAGAATAATGTTAGAAATGTTTACCCTCACATTGAAACTGAACAACTGTAGAATTAATGGTGCAGAATGTTGGTCCCATATAACACTGATCCCCTCCCCTTAATAAAATCTGCCTACCTCTGGGCAGCAGTGTGTGATTTCAGTATTGTTCCTCTGTGGGCAGCTCAAATAATTTTGTTTTTGCTTGAATTCAAAAGGCTGTGTCATATTTTAAAAATATGCTATACTCACTTGGCTTTTTATGCACATCTCTATCTTTTTATATTCAAAAATGAGCACTGTCCTTGCCAACATCATGAATAAGGGATAATGCCGTCTTTCTGAGAACACCACCAGCAGCATGATGAGCCTTGGTTTAATGAACAGCAGCTTAGCCAGTACTATATGGGGACAGAAGCAAGGAAGATACCGACATGGAGGAGGATTTCAGGGGATTTAGAAAGTAATGCCTTTCTGAAGTGTACATTTTTCTAGTTCCTAACAAATCAGTTGAGGTCAGCAATTGGCTATAATTTCTTATTCTCATCTTTGCTCCTTAGGGCTGCCTTAATATTTTGCAAGGACACCCAAAGAGGAGAAGACTGTTGTTGTTTTTTTGAAAGGTGAGATTGAGCATAGGCATGAATATATGCAGAAGAAAATATGCACAAGAGTCATTTTTTGCCTGAGTAGGGATGCCATATCAGAGACAATCTCAGGTCTCACTTGTGAAAGCCAATTTGTATATGTCGATTGCCATTGTACACTGCCTGTTATCACTGAATCAGAGGTCTGGGGAAAAAAATTGAATCCAGAGACAAAAATATCAAGAAACAAAACATATAGAGCTGTTTTATCCACAGAATTATTAGCAATCAATCTACCTCAGCTCTTTCTATTCTGATTAGTAGAGCTTGTCCAGAGCACCAGGCAGAGAAGGATCTTTGCCAGCCCTGCAATCTGAATCCATTTGAAGGGATTGAACCCAAGACCTTTGGAATGCATAATATATGTTCTACCACTGCGCTATGGCTCCAGACAAAGACACATATCCCTTGGTGTTGCTCTGATTACCTGAACATACTTGTTGCCATGCCAGTGTCCTCCTTGTTAGCAGGAACTGATGTTTGACCCTTTAACAGGCATCTGCCCCAGTTACATTGAATATAACACACACATGTGTGTGTGCATGCATATGTTCCAAAACAGTGCTGTTAATGTATATGATACTTTATAAAGCAACATAAGGACATCTCTGCCTTGACAGTAGGGAAGAAAACGGGGAAGAAGGGGAGAGGTTAGTGTGATAAAGGAAGTCCATGCACAGTGGATCTCAAGGTTTTTATTAGATAATTACTAATTCCATATCTGTTAGGGTTGACAAGTCAATTCAAAGTCAAGCAGAGGACTTTATTTTTCAATGTACAGTGTTTTCCAAAAAATAAGAAAGGAACCTCACGTGTTTTTTGGAGCAAAAATTGATATTGGGGCTTATTTTCAGGGGATGTTTCATTTTTTCATGTACAACAATCTACATTTATTCAGATGCTGTCATGTCTCTCCTGGTTGCTGCACAATGGTGGAGGTCGGGGTTTGACTTATGTAACTGGGGCTTATTTTTGGGGTAGGGCTTATATTACGAGCATCCTGAAAAATCATACTAGGGCTTATTTTTCATTTAGGTCTTATTTTCAGGGAAACAGCTAGTGCATGGGGTTTTATACTTCCTCAACCTCTGGAAGCTAACTATATGAGGTTTTCCTTTCACACTGTTTTAGCTGAGTGTGGTTGTCTGTGTTTTGTTTAGTTTTGTATCCAACCTCTGCTGAAGTTGTTGATGCATGTTAGATGGATATTAATAACAAATACAAACACTCTTCTATGGTTGATGACTTCTATTCCATTTTAATTTCTTGATTCCTCATTCTTCTGCTCGATATTTTGGGCAACTTTGGCACTTACACCAAAATTGTAAGTGCCAGAGTTGTAGACTTTTAAAAAGAAGTCCTGTTGATAATAAGCTGGAGAAGCCTGCTAATTTCTAGTTTGTGGAAATGGATTTACACTTCAATGATTGAGGAGTGGGAGAAAGCACTGCCTATTTTTATGTATTCTTATACAGTACTTAATTGCATCAAATTTTAGTTACATGCTGCCTAACATAAGAGTCTGTGCTTTAAAAAACAAAATGGTGAATTCTTTTTTAATATCAGTCATATCGTAAAACAACTAACCCATAAGTTCCTACATTATCCCACCTTTTAAGATTCATCTGGAATAGGTACGATTCTGCTTGTTACTGCAGTAAATATGAACCAAAACTCACAATTAGAACACAGACATTTTTGACTTGAGAGATGGAAAACAGGGCTTAATCTAATTACACTGACACTTCTTCAAACGCTTTTTAGTTTATGTGACCCTTTAATATGATTTGCTTTTAAGGCAGGCTTTCCTAATTTTCTTGATAAAATTGCCCTGCTGTTAATTTAAAATAACTGATTGAATAGCTGCCATGTTCCATTTCTTTAAGGTTCGTACTAAAGCACTTTTTCTTAAAGCCTTTCCCTCTTGGGAGGAAAGATTTCGCTGTGCTGCTCAGCAAGACATTTGAAATCTCACACATCATTTTTACATTCAGATTGTTTGTCACAGCTTGTGTGCTCCTCAATAACTGTTGTATGGCTTCTTCTAGAAATCTGGAATCTGCCCTAAGTACCCTGTGACTGTAGAGTTTAGGATATACTTTACCACACACTGTCATTTATCTCCATTAAATTTATTTCACAAATGAATATTAGTACTGTATATTTAGAGCTGTATCAAAATACAATGAGAATATATTTCCTTTTTGAAGTTGCTTACAATAAACACAAGACTTATTTTCATACTTTTCAACAAAGGACTAGTGTCACAGCCTTTGTGGCTTCACTTCAGATGAAAGATGGAATGTCTAGGATTTAATGGTAAATTGAAGCATGATTAAAAGTCTGAGAGTGAAGTGCTGAGATTATGACTATATGCTCTATCCGCACAAACCACTATGTCTCTGATGTGACATTACCTTGCTGGCCATGGCCACTGTTAACCGCTGGAGACCTCATGTGGTGTAGTGGTTAAGAATGCTGGATTGGGATATGGGTGATATATGTTCTACAGTGGGGTCTTGACTTGAGAACTTAATCCGTATTGGAAGGCGGTTCTCAAGTCAAAAAGTTCTCAGGTCAAATCTGCATTTCCCATAGGAATGCATTGAAAACCATTTGATCCGTATCTGCTCTTTTCCGTCCATAGAAACTAATGGGAAGCGGCTATTCCGCCTTTGACCACTAGAGGGGGATATTTTGTTTCTTTTTTTCTTAGGTCAAGAAAGGTTCAGGGAAGGCAGGGAAAATACAGTCCAGGCAGTACAGTACCAGGCAGTCCGAAGACTGTCTCCCAATCCACTCTCTAAATGCTGGGAGGAGTGAGGAAGCAGACAGGCACCCTTTTCACTGGCCAACAGTTAACTGAAAGTTCAAATTTTGCACTTTCCCTGCCTCCCACGTGATTTTTTTCAGTTCTTAACTCAAATCTAAGTATGTAAATCAAGTCAATATTTTCCTATGAGAGTGGTTCTTAAGTCAAAATGTTCTTAACTCAAGCCGTTCTTAAGTCAAGACCCCACTGTAGTCCCGTCTGAGCCACATACTGGATGATCTTCAACTAGATGCTCTTATCAGCCTGACCTATCTCACAGGGTCATTGGGAGGATAAAGTGAGGAGAATTATGCTGCTGTCTGCATTACCTCTTAGAGGAAAGGCAGGATATAGGTGTAGCTAACAGTATATGAATAAATAATAACATTGAGTGTGTTTAATACTAACCAGAATTTGAAATCACTGAAGAAATTTGAAGAACAATTAAACTGATAATCTATCTGGCAGAACAATTAATATCACTGTGGTTGCATGAAGCATATTAGTGTCCCATGATCCCTCCGTAATAAAATGCTAATTATTAAAACAGAAAGGTAAGAAAGGGTAGTGGGAATTATATTATCCCATCAAAATATTACATTGAAAGGTTTTGGGAAAATGCATCTTTTTAAAAGAGAAGCATTAATAACAATTAGGTGCTGTCAAGCCAATTCCGACTCATGGTGACCTTTCCAGGGTTTTCTAGGTAGAGAGTAGTCAGAAGTGGTTTACCATTTTTTCTGTGAAGCTTGCCCAAGGCTACAAGGCTGGCTGTTCTCTGAGAACCACAATGGGGAAATGGACTCCCAACCTCTAGTTTGTGACCAGGTATCCAACTCATTGAGCTGCCATGCCAATAGAAGCATTACCTTATGTGAAAACATCTAGATCATCATAGTAAAGTAATAAATGAGCTAATTTAAGGAAAAGCTTTGTGATTTTTTTGATGAAATGTTGAAAAGAGCTGCACTGTACTGGACCAGAGGGTTATCTAGTCTGGCATTCTGTAAGTAAAGTGGTCAGGATAAAATAAATCCAATCTTGTCATAGATCTAGTTGAGAAAAAGGTAGTGAGATGAAAAAATTGAAACCAGTTAGCCATTGGTGCTGATATTTCCTTTGCCAAAGAAATTTTAATACTTCCTGAAAACAATCAAAGGTTCTAAAAATACAACTGTGATCTCTCTCAAGGAAAGGGGATGTTCACTTGGCAGTGAATAATTGCTCAGTAACTCACCTTACATCCCTCTTTTACAGGACTTTTCTCTTGAGGAGGTAATTGCCCTCAGAATTGACCTCTGATTTCTTGACAGAAGGAGTAGCAGCACATCTGGCAGTGCTTTCACTTTAATGTTTTGCTGACTGCTGTTTCTTGAGCTCTAAATTTTTTTCTTCTGTCACATGTGTTTTCAAAACAGTGGGGAAATAATAGAAAGTACTGTAGCTCTCCTTTTCTTTCTTACTGTGAGTTCACTTTTACAGTGAGTACTGAAGGTCAGTCCCTTGAATTATTGAATACACATTAATGGGATGTATAATATGATGGAGTCTGTACATGTGAGACAACATTGTTGTGAAAGGCAAACGTCAAAAGCTGTTCCCAGTCATTGGTGGTAAATATTATGAGTGGGAAATTACCTAAAAAAATTTCTACAGAGTGACTTCATCTATAATGCTTGAACATGACCAGGCTTTAATTTATACAAGCTGTGATGATCCTTAAGATTGCAGTCTCTCGTCTTCCTTCCTCATACTCCTCCATCATAAGTACCAGAAATGTCTACATTGACTTCAAGGGTCCTGGCAAATCATAGTTTGCCATTGTATCCAAATGCAGTGAACAATTGTTTGCACACATCAGAATGTGCCACATTCAGAAACAACAGCAAACTGTGGTTTGTCAAGAACCTGAATTTCAAGTTAAAATTGCAACATGTAAGAGGAGGAGAGAGTGCTGAGCCCAAAATGCAGTGTTCCTCATGCACAAAATGTCAAACCTCATTTTGGAGTTATAGTTTAATGCATTTATTGAATGTGTTATTCTGATTTGTCCTATCAGCTGAAATTCAGTAGCACAACTTAGACCCCATAAGGCTGATGTTGTAATCAGCCATTTTGGTTTTCAAAAGATAAACATTTCTGACCCCACACCCTATGTCCCAAGGCTCCCTTGCCATGTCTTTCATCCTGAGGAAGACATTGGTGTCCATAGGAATGGGGAAATCTCACTGCCACTGGGATTAATTTTTAAAAATTGTGGTATTATGTGCACCTTGTTAGATAGATGTGTTGCTGTTTTGCTATGCCACTCACTTTATTTAACAAAAAAAGAGGAAAGTTGCCATAGCTCACTGAATGTTAGCCCCAGGAAAAGATGGAGTAGGGGAGTGTCATTAATTGAAAGGAGACCAATTTGGAGGGATCCAAAGACCTGTCTGGACCCTTCTCATGGGAGAAAAAAAATACTGATCAATGTGAAGAGAAGGATCGCTTAAGTGAGAGATAAAATAGATCATACTAAAGAAAAGAACCTTTAAAACCTAAACCAGACTGCCCCAACTTCCCCTGAGTGAAGTAAGAGGTTTTTTTATACAAGTGGGATGGAGCTGTTGCTATTAATTTAACAATGGCTCAAAAGAGGAGTTGCATCTGGCAGCCCAAGAACTAATATATTCTTGGCCATTTGAATCCAGTGGACTTACTAAACCTTGAAAGTATTCCTCATGCCAGTGATAACCATCGCTTTCAACTCAGTGAATTAGTACTAATCCTTGTGTAAATTGTGTCCACTCAACATTCATTGTCTGCTTATCATCTGTCCTTTTATTTGTTTTTAGAATGGGTAAAAAAATTAAAAAGGAAGTGGAACCACCTCCCAAGGATGTGGTAAGTTTATAAAATACAGCTTGCTGTAAAAAAAGTTTCACAATTACAACCTCTGAGCTGGCTCTTCTTTTTCACTCTTTTACTCCCACTTACTTCCCTTTATGGCTCTAAAAATGTCTTATAAAGATAACTGTATTTTTCCTGCAGTTGTGTAGTGTGTGTAAACAGAAAGACCAACCACATTGATTTTTATGAAGAATCTTGCCTTATGTAGGCCTCAGTTTCTTATAAATTTGGAAAGCAAGCACCTCTTGAAAACTGTTGGCTATTCAATTTATTTTGATTGTAACTATGGTACCAGGAAAGATGTGTCAGGTGTCAAAATAACTTGGTTGGCCTAGTTTACTTTGCACGTTGATGCTGTGCCTCAGGCCAGAAAATATCTTTGGCTAGCCTTAAGAAGAGGAATATATAATAGGCTACAAATTTTGTGTTATTGCTGAGTAACAGTAGGGATTCAACCCTTTTATTTTTAAGCTTTGACCTCCAAAAATATCCGTAAAGCGTGTGAGCATTAACTAAATTGCATTGGGTACCTTAGACATACATCCCAGTCTGAAGCATGTCAATCTTAGTCGAGAGAAGTGCAGTCGGAAGTCTCGCAGGAAAAGTGGAGACTTTTAACTTTAATAGAAAAGTAACTTATAGTGGGCTGAAATTATTCGACCATTCTTGCAGTTGTAATGCAACCTTCTCTAATAGAATTTCTGTTCTAACGTTAACATTTTGTTTTAAGGAAAAATTTCCTGACTGTATTTTCCTGTTATATGACTATTGAGAAAGCTCTGAGAGCATTGTGAGGTTTCTTTAAGCTAATTGTCATGCTTGCTACTCATAGGACTGTGTAGAAAAAATGAAGTTTTTTTCTTTTTTGCTTCCTTTCATTAGTTCTGTTTAGGAATGCTTGAAGGCCCAGTTTCTCAAACATTTGTTTGCAATTAGGCACCCTGAAGCACTTCTGTTTATAGTGTGAAGAACTATGCTAGATGCATTAGTAGAAATGGCTAGTTTTGCCCTACATCCTATGCATAGTTAGTCAACTAAGATTGGGTCCAGACTTACACCTACTTAGAGGAGATGCACTGAAATCAGTGGAAGAGGAAAATCATGACTAATGTAAGCCAAGTTGATTTCAGCTTTTGTACTCTGAGCATGACAGCTTTGAATTTAAACCATATAGTTTTGGCATTTAGGATTATAAATACTTCGGTATGCATCTTAAATAGTCTGCATGTCTGGACATACTTATACAAGGGTAAGCTCCACTGGGCTCAAAGCCACTTACATGTGAGTCAACAAAGATAGTATTCATATGTTTGATACTCTATTGAAGCAGGTCATAGAAAAACTTAAATTTCTAACATCATGTGATATTAATTTCTTAAAAACTCTTCTTATACTATATCTGGAATATAGCTGATAGCATAGGTAAGAGATAGCTTGGCCAGATTCAAGGTAGTTTTTGAACAGAAGACAGTAAATGCACTCAATTTTGTTAGTGCCCAAATGTAAAGCCTTCTAAAATGTTTGATACTAAATAAAGGAAAGATTTGCCCTTTCTTCAAACCATGTCAGTTTCAAACAATCTATTAAACAGAGTCAGAGCAGCTGGATCTCATCATGTAATTCTCTCTCTTTGAGAAAGGTCAGGAATGGAAATGAACATTTTGTGTTGCTTCCAGATGGCTGAACAGGAATCATGTCATGACAGTACTTTGACCAGCCTGGCATCATGGAGAGCTGCCCTTTGAGATCTGAACCTATGTGAAGAAAGCACAAGAAGGGCCGTTCTATATTTAAAATCCACTGTAGCAGGGCAGAATCTACCACCCATGGCCAAAATTTGTTACTTTCCTTGAATGCATTGGTTATACAGAGGGTTTGCTTTGCTGGGATTATTTTCTAGAGAGAGAGAGGTTTCCTGACTCTCCAGTGAGGAGAAAGGCAAACTGAAGTTGCCAGAAATTTCCTGGGCCGTTGCCCTCCATAGAACAATTAAGTCATTTCTGTTCTTGCCTGAAGAATTCTTTCGATCCATGTGGGAGTTGTAATGCTTTTCTGGCTTTATTCATAATGTATGAAAAATCTTCTTAATATCTATCTGATACTATGAGCACAATCCATCAAGAGCTTATGCTGGCCGGCACTTGTTCATTTTAAACGGCTTGTGTGGGGAGATGTGCAAAATTCCTGCTGAAACAGCCAAATTGCCCAGCGGGAACAATATAGTTGGAGCTACTGGAGGACTGCAGAAGGGGACCGTGTGATGACGGTGGCAGCAGCAAGAGACTTTGTAGAATTGGTACTGGAGGGTAATCATTACCAGTACAGGAGCCAACTCCTATTTAGAGGCCATCAGGGATCCGCCAATGCACGATAATTGGACTTCTAAAAAGAACAATTGATTTTTTTTTTCAATTTTGGCATGTACATGTGTGTAGGAAGCACCTAGGCATGCTGTGGGTGCACAGCTATTCAGGAATGGACACAATCACATGAATTGTATGTGTGTGTGTGTGCACGTGTGTGTGTGGGAATAAGAATCCTGGAAGCTCATATATTAGCTAGTGTTTTTTTTATATACAGTATATGCTCTATAAACATTTTTCATAGAAGAATGGGCTTTTGCTCACAGTAATTGAGCTGATTTTATTGGACCTTGCTCAGTAGTCACGTCTGGTGCAGCAGCTTCCACCAATATATAACTACATGAGAAAAAATGTTCTGGCACATTGCGTGCATTTTCATGTAAGATATACCTTCTTTTTGTTTTATTATACATATCTAAAGAAGGAAAAAAATCTATTTTGCCTACTGCAGTCATTACAGTCACTTTTTTGTGCTTGTATGAAGGCTGCTTCTGTTTATTATCAAATAAATCCTTACACAAGAGCTTATGAGCTCCCCAGTAGCCTTAGTTTGCTTGCTATTCTTTCTCCAGTTTAGCAGTGGTCTTTTGAATTGACATGTCAAGTGTTGCAAGATTCCAGATAAAAGTGAATTATTGGTTTGTGGAGTGGCATTGTATTTTTCCCTTATATTATATTTCTTCTTCTTCTTTATTTTTCATCCTTTTGTGTCTTTAATAACCTGCTAGCTTTGTGCTTGCACCTGCACACTGAACAGAACCTTCACTGAATAATTTACAATGATCTCCATTCATGCTTCTCATGACCCTTTTGTGTAAGACCTTGTGAACTGGTTGAATAAAATGTATTTTAATGTAAATTATCTATGCACATATTAGTTTATGTTTGAATTCATGCAGTTTGACCAGATCTAGCTTGATCAGATTTGTACTCTTTTTGCTGCCAAGTTTACACTTGATTCTTGCCCGTAGCCATGTGTCAGTAAACAAACATTATTTCATTTAAAAGCCCATGAAGATTAAGAGCTGTCAAGAGCCAACAATGCCTCATCAGCTAATTGTTTCATTGCCACCTATTTCTTTTTCAAGATCACTGGTTCTATGTACTAAATAACCAGTTTTCAATCTTATACAGTATCTGTTTGTCACAGTTGAGCAGTGTCATGCTAGAGTGTAGAAGGATATTGGTAGTCTTTGGGAAAACAGGAGGGCAATTGGTTAGAGAATGTTGATGCTGAAGTTTGAGTCAAACCTATAATATAATTGTGCACTGTCAAGTCAATTCTGATTTATGGTAACCCTTTTCAGGTTTTTCTAGGAAAAGAGTACTCAGAATTGGTTTGCTATTCCCTTCTTTTTGGGACTTCCTGGGATTCTGCAGCTTGCCCAGGGCTACAAGCCTCGCTCTTCTCTGAGAGGCACTGTGATGAACGGAACTCTCAACCTCTTGACCTCTACAAGTTATGTAGCCATTTCAGAGATGGGCAATGTGCCCTGTTCTTGAGGCCACATGCCTAATTTTAGAAACTTCCTGTAAGTGATCAGTTCAGACGGATTTGGAAAGTGATCGGTTTCTCCTAAAGTAGCTTGGTGGATGGGAGCGATGTGTGTGTATGCATATGCTTGTGCATGTGCACTGGAGTGGAGAAAGGGATGGCAGCTATAGTAGGAATGGACTGACTCACCTTTTGCTTTGGCCCTGTTGGAAGTGACTCAGTGCAATTCAGAATACAGAATCATATAATAATGAAGTTGGAAGGGGCCTATAAGGCCATCAAGTCCAACCCCCTTCTCAATACAGGAATACAAATCAAAGGATATCTGCCAGGTTATTGTCTAAATTTCTCCTGAATGCCTCCAGTGTTGGAGCACTCACCATCTCTCAAGATAATTGATTGCATTGCTGTGCTGCTCTAACAGGAAATTTTTTTCGTGATATTCAACCAATATCTGGCTTCCTGTAACTTGAGCCCATTGTTATGTGTCCTACACTCTGGGATGATTTAGAACAGATCCTGCCCCTCCTCTGTATGACAGCCTTTCAAGTATTTGAAAAGTGCTATCCTATGTTCCCCCAGTCTTCTTTTCTCAAGGCTAAACATGCCGAGTACTTTCAGTCTTTCTTCATAGGGCTTGGTTTCCAACTCCGTGATCATCCTTGTTGCCCTTCTCTGAACATGTTCTAATTCATCTGCATCCTTCTTAAAGTTCAGTGTCCAGAACTGAACACAGTACTCAAGATGAGGCTTAATCAGTGCCAAATAGAGGGGACCTAGTAGCTTGTGGGATTTGGAGATTGTACTTCTGTTGACGCATCTTAAAATGGCATTTGCCTTCTTTTTTGTAACTGCATCACACTGTTGGCTCATATTCAGCTTGTGATTTACGACAATTCCGAGATCCTTCTTGCTTGTAGTATTGCTGAGCCAGATTTCCCCCATCTTATAACTGTGTGTTTGGTTTCTTTTTCCTAGGTGCAGTACTTTGCAATTATCTCTGTTGAATTTCAATCTGCTGTCTTCAGCCCAGTGCTCAAGCCTATCCAAATCATTTTGAATTTTGTTTCTGTATTCCAGGATATTAGCAATGTCTTTGCATGCGGGAGAGCAGAGAAAAGTCTTTGTCAGATTTC